TCGAACAGGCCACTTACAGTAATTCACGATCAATTTATTTATTTTCTTGTATTTTATGATCTATCTTCTTCACCTATTCATACATGTATTAGCACCTGTGGGTGTAAGATTAACAAGGGTGGAGTCTTTACCTGTCTTTGTCAGCACTGCACCTTCAGGGCCTAAAACCAAGCCTTATATTTGATAGGTCCTCAGTGAGTAAACCACAATTAATCATTCAATTGTGTCATGCTTATTCTGAACATTAAACAGTATATTTAAAAAAAATAAATAAAGTTCATTTTGTTTCCCTGAGAGGGAACAAGATAGGGAACGAGAGAGAAAGAGAACAGGCATTCCCCAAACAGAGTCTGAACGAGAGAGAAAGAGAACAGGCATTCCCCAGAGTGACCACACCACGAGCCACTCCCAGTCTTAGCCAGCCTGGATCATGGGCATGTGTGCCCAGCATGCTTAGGAAGGTCCCAGAAGGCAAACAGGACGTTTCTTATGTGGGTTCAGTTACATTATCACTGAGCCACCATGTGGCCTTGAGATTTTAAATTTTAGATGATTATGACTTTTAAGGAGAATGTAATAATATTTTTGAAGTGTTTTTAAGATTAGATGGTCATTTTCTTAGAGAGATTTTTGGTACAGTGTTTGTGTGCTTGCCAGAGAGACAGAGAGATATAGAGAAACTGAAAGCAAGAAATCACCTTCCAGAGGGGATAACCACACTGCAATTCCTTCGCCTCCATTCTCCTCTTGGGATTTTGGGCATGAATATACACATGCCCAGAGTAAGATTTTTTAAGCCACTGGGTCTGGGACTCAAACTACAGTCGACTATGTGAGAGTCCAGTAATATAACCTTTACGGTGTCTGCTGATCCCCAAATGGTCATTTTTTAAATTTAATTTAATTTATTATTATCATAACTTTTTTCTATTACGTTGAATCACATGTGTCTTTACAGTGTAATAATTTCTTGTTCCAGCATGATTACCATACATATCAGTCAAGACAAAGACATTACTATCGAAATCATCATCAAATAGCTTTTCATCATTTTTTTAGATTATTGTTATTTACTCTCATTATTTTTTTAACATTCAATAACTCTATATCATTTGGCTTATATAAAGAATTTACCCAGCATAAATAATTCTCAGACCAGTCCAGTTGAGAATACTATACATGTTATCATCAGCAGGTAATAAATCATTTCTGTGTCCCACTAATGCCATGCCTCTCTATTTGTTCTCTTGCTATCCTTCCTTATACTCTTCCCTTCTCCCCACCTCCCATGGTCATTTTTTAAGATAAAAGCATTTATATCAGTTTTATAATACGAGCATGTATTTTATAAATACATTATATGTTTAAACTAATGAAAAGAATTTAGGCTTCTCGGTATAATTCTGTTTTCCATTTAACCATGGCAAAAATTTACCATTCAAATTTATTAAGAATTTCACATGCCTACATATACAGCTTAAATTCTTTATAATTTATAAATCATGAACTATTGGTCTAGAAATGCCCTTGTATAGTAACTAGTCTAATTCCCAGAATTCATAGAAACCATGAATATAAATATAGAGGATCAGAGATGTAAAAAGGAATGCCCAGACCAGAGAAATGGTGGGGGTAAAATGGCTTCACTTCCAGGAAAACCAATTCCATGTCCCATTTTTTCTCTCTCCACTTAATTCAGCTTCAAAGACCATAATAAATACACACTTTCCTAATCTTTGATAGGGTATTTTCTTTAAGATATTAATGCAATCCAAGGATTCTATTAAAATACTCTTGGATAATTGGGGGCCAGCAGGTGGCACAGTGGTTATGGTGCTGGACTCCCAAATGGCTGATCATAGTTCAAGTCTCAGTCCTGATGGCTTGAAAATCACATTGGATGTGTGTGTGTGTGCCCCAAATCTCAGGAGGTCCTTTTGGAGGAGAAGAGATTGTGGCATGGCCATTCCCCCTCTCAGAGGACAGAAGATGAATTTCTCACTTTCCTTCTCAACATTCCTCTCTCTATATAGAGCATATGGGCCTTATGGCAAAAACCTAAAAAAAAAACCTCTTAGATAGATTTTATACTTCTTGTACTTTTCAATACAATAGCCCAAAAGTATGTGGTTTGCTTCTAATAATCATTAAAAACCTTAGTACATTAAGCATCTTATAGAGTATGAAATACATAATTAAATAATTCAGTCAAAGGTAAATACATGAGAAAATGAAAATGATTCCCCAAATACGATAACTATCAAGGTAATCTAAAACTGCTCATCTTGCCATTGGCCTGGTAGTATCCTCTCCAGGAACTGGTGAAAAAAAATTTTTTAAAGAAAAACCTATGCAATTATAAAATCTTCCTCAAAATCAAAAGCAACATGCATATCACATCAAAAACTCTAAGCTTCGAACCTAAACAAACGCCTTAAATCTCAGCTCTGCCACTAACTAATTCTGGAATAGTTAGCTATAACCATACAATAAAATAGGAAGGTTAATACACACATTGCAAGCAAACTGAAGATTACGTGAAATAACATTTGACAAGTGTGTGATTCATGATGGCACTCATGTAAGTAGTGGTTGTGGCGATTGTTGATAGACTAGAAAATAAAGGTCGATCTTTCAGCATTTAGGCAAAGCATCACTAACAGTGAAGAAATCAGGACAACCTACTCAATTAATAAATTATACATGAGAAAAGAAAATAGTTCCTCTACGCTTGAATTGTCTAGGCTGGCTGTTCCAAATTCACTGTAAAAGGAGGGGAAGGAATGAGATACTTAAGGTTTCACTGAACAGCTCAGTCAATGTTTTCCACTGTGATTGTCATGATAGATGGTGGTCTTATGTGTAACTCATTTCTGTTTTCAATTTCTGGCAATAAAGATAAGTCTGCCTACTCCTATCACACTGATTAAGGCTACTCTAACACAAATAAGCATAATATTATTGGAATAGAATGGAATCTTCTCTAATGTACTTTAAGAATAAGTAATTTTCAAAGGTATGTATTTTAAACATCAAAAATTATTCATTTCTTTAGACATACCTCACAGCCCCATCATTTCGCTAATTAGGAGACTGAGGCTCAGAGGAATTAAATAACTACCTCAAAGTTAAACAACTAACCCATGTAGCATGGCAAAAACCAAATCCAGACTCATTTCCACATATATTGTATCAGGATTTTACTGCTGAAAATGACCTTCTGCTTCTCAGTGTTTCTCGAGATGCCATATTTTAGCTGCAAGTTGAAACTTAAGGATTCCATAATATAGTTTTTTTAAGTGATTTTTTTCTTTTAATTTGCCTGAGGGTACATGCGTTCACCAGAGTTATATAGACAGGGAGAAGAGAAAGCACCCCTCCCCCCATGGGGTTTGATCCCACAGCAATCCCTTCTCTTCCATTTCTCCATACAGTTGGGATTTGGGGTGTACATGAAACATGCATTCCCAGTTGTTTCTCAAGCTCCCAGAGCTGAGGTTCAAGCTGTATGGTTGATCACGTGAGATTTAGCATGCCTGACCACCAGGCTATGGGCCTAGTCTGATGTCTGTTTTGATGTGTTTGAAGTTCCTTGCTCTATTTCTTAGAGTGATAGACATTTGAAGAATTTGCCTATCCTTTTATTTGATGCATATTTCAAGGCATATTTATATTTATTAAGTGCCTCATGGGATCTAGGAGTAACAAAACAGAATCCTTGCTTTCATGTCTATTGGGTAAAATACACATAAAATGAAATAAAGCAAGAAGTGCAATTTCATCAGAAAATTGTATCAGGACCCAGCTGCTGTGTTTACTTCTCAGGTCTACCTGAGCATGTTGGCCATGCCAGTGGGTGCACCTGTAGTCCAGACCGGCTGTGGGGCTTGCAGGAACATTGTACCATCAAGATCCTGTCAAAATAACTATCTCTATGTTTTTCTTTCCCATCTCATGAAAGAAATCTTCTTAAAAATTAGATTAAAAGTATAAGTGATAAGAGTTGAGGACAATAAAGCAAAAACAGAATGGTACAAGGAATATATGGAAGGGAGAGCAATTAATGACTGGTGTGTATTTTAATTCACTGACGCTTAATAATGAGAAACAGGTCTGAGGGACAGCCACTCCTAAAACATGCCTAATCATGTCAGAGAAATATCCATCAGAGGTGTTATCTCCCTATGGTGTCTCCATTTTAATTATGCAATGCCACATGTTACCCACAGGAAAATCTGCCTCCAATCTTTAGAGCCACGGACTTAAATCAAAGGAATCCCAGTCAAAATCCTTACAAACTTGAAAATAGAAAGATGATGTTCAAAATTGTTTCAAATGTTATCCCCCTTTCTTTTATATATTTTTATTATTTTTTTAAAAATGATTTACAATTTTATTTTACATATCCTAAATATTTAATTTACATTATTCTAAGCCTAGAGCACTATTCTAAATAGGTTTTTCACTGGAACCTTCTCCTGCCTTTGTTGTCCATTACAAATATTATATAAAATAAAGACACAAAATTCAGATAGCAAGTTCTTGGATGACTATTGCTTATTCTACTTCAGAGATTTAAAAAGGAGGTTTTAATACTTCTTCACTTTTTTTACAGTGTTCATTTTGATTATTATCTAACATTAATAAAAACACATATTTTCAATGGCATATTTATTGCCAAAATAAAAGGTCTGCCTTCCCAATAACATGACTTAAAGTCATCATATACAATTCTGAGTTCCCCGGGCAGGACAGCAAACCAGGCCACAAGGGGAGTTTTGGTTCAGGATAGATCATGAGAGTGGGGTTCCCGGTGCTGTCCTTGGTAAGTGCTAGCAAATCTTTGCAGTTACCAAAGGAGTTGTAAACAACACTTTTGTTTATTTGATTTTTGTTTTTAATTTTCTTGGGTCCAGAAGCTGAGAAAGGCATCTGATAAGCTTATGAGCCATTTATCTAAGACAGCCGTCCCTGTCTAATAAGATCTGAGGAGCACTTACTTTCAATTGCCTTGATTTTATTTTCCCATGGGATGCAGGCAGCTTTGAAGTTCTCAAAATCTCGGAGAAATTTTACCCATTTCTGAAAAGAAAGCCAAATTCCACAGTAATGTTCAGTGCCCAACCTCACCATTTGTTGAGATGTCCACCCCGTCACCCTCAAACAACACATGGCAATGGACTTGGAAAGATCTTTCTGGCACTAAAGGCTGTTGATTTTGTTTGTTTAGTTTTGTTTTGTAAGAAAGGAAGACAGTAGCCATCTTTGTATAATGGAACACAACACATCCATAAAGTTGAACTAGAAGTCTCACAGCAACATGGATGTAATTCATGAAAATAATATTGCATCAAAGAAGCCAGCAACAGGAGCACAAATACTATATGATTCCTTTTATTTACACTATAAAAACAGACAAAACTAATCTATTGTGTGTATACATATATGTGCGTAAATTAAGAGGGACCAGCAGTTAGTGTAATGGCTATGTCGCTGGACTCCCATGTAGTCGACTGCAGTTCGAGTCCCAGACCCGGTGGCTTAAACTCACGCCGGGCGCATGTGCATGTGTGCCCAAGATCCCGAGAGGAGAATGGAGGAGAAGAGATTGCGGCGTGGCCATCCTCCCTGGGGACGATTTCTCCCTTTCTGTCTCTCTGTCTCCCTCTGTCTGTCTGGCGAGTGCACACGCCCTATAGCAAAAACTTCTCAAAAAAGGAAAAAAAATTAAGATACATGAACTTTATTCACAAAACTCAATATTGGTGGGAATACATTTAGCATAGTAATATTTGCAGAGAAGTGATAATCCGTATGTACTGTATGTATACCAGTGTAAGTTTTTGTTTGTTTTTTGCCCTTCTCAGAACAGAATTAGTGCTCTCTCCATTGGGGCCAGCATGATACACGCCAGACTGTATACTTACCTTGGCCATCATCATTTTAAACGCAAACCATCGTTTTCCTTTTCCTTTCCCAAGAGCCCCTTCATTTTCACTCACAAATTTTTTGGCTTCCCTGAGAAAATAGAGGAAAAATAAGAGGTTAGTGGAGGTGAGTTGAAATGCATAGAGTGAAGAGGTAATTTTGTCAGGACTGTAGCCTTAGTTCTCTACATCCTCTAAATCTTGAACCAGTGAACCTCAGCTGTATTTTATAAACTCTGGACTTTTAATGCATGTTTAGTTCTTTTAAAATTCTGGCTAGGGAGAGTAGATATTTTCATTTCACTTCCTAATCAGCTGAAGTCATCAAAAAGCAAGGAACTTATGATAAGTGTCAAAAAAGAGAAAACCCTAGTTCTCATTTCTACCACATATAAAATTGAATATGAAGTTTAAGTCAGATTCTGGCAGCCAAAGTATTTATTTTAATTATTTTTTCCTTCTTTACTAAGAATTCTTCTTTTTTAAAAAAGGAGGGCAAAGAGTTAGGACAAAATGACACAGAACACACTTACTGAACTAGTATTTAATCCTATAAGAGTAATCAACACGTAAAACAGAAAAACACTATAAAGTTAATGGGTTGAGGCAAAAAAGAAAAAGGAAAGTAATACTTTAGGCTTCACATTCTAAAAGAGCCTTAAATACAAACTTTAACATTTTTCTCAAATATTTATAAATTTACATAACACATTTGTTACATTAGTGTCTTGTATATATGTGTTAAAAGACATTAACTTGTCAAAATGGATACAGATAACGTGAACACATTAATGGTATTACAATCTTTGTAATTTAAGTCATTGCGATGGACCCAATATTTGTGTACTCCCCAAATTCACATGTTGAATCTGATCTCTAATGGGATGGTATTTGGAGGTGATTAGGTCATGGGGGTCTAGCCCTCTTAAATGGGATTAGTGCCTTTATGAGGAGAAGCTAGAGAACTAGTCAGTCCTCTTCCCACCACATGAGAGTACAAGAAATGGGCTCCCTGCAACCTGGAAGAAGGCTCTCCCCAGAATGTGACCCTGCTGGCACCTGACCTAAGACTTCCAGTCTCCAGAGCCATGAGAAATACAAGTTTGTTGTTAAAGCTACTGAATCGGTGGTAATTTATTCTATCAGCCCAAAGTGACAAAGATAGTCATTTCTGTTGTCATTTGTTTGTCCAATACCTGAAACGAATTGTTAAAACAAAGGCAGGCCAGGCTTCTCCTCATCTCTCTCTAGCGCCAGAAAGCATATTATCTACATGAGGGAGGACAGTAGCTTCTGCAAATGACAATAACAAACAGACAAACCAAACCTAATTTGTTTTCAGGACTGGACTGGGGTAGCAGGTATAATGCTCTTGTCATTTGTATGTCCCCTGAAACGTATGGCTTTGCAAACAAAACCTATCAACCCATGGCTATAAATGAACATTTTTTTAAGAAGACTTTTGCTATAGAGTGTGTATGTTTGCCAGGGAGACAGAAGCAGAGAGAGAGAAAGCAAGAAATCACCCCCATCTCCAGGGGGATGGCCATGCTACAATCTCTTCTCCTCCCTTCTCTTCTCGAGATTTTGGGCCTGCATGCACACATGCTCACTCTGAGTTTCAGGCCTCCAGGTCTGGGACTTGAATTGCAGTCAGCCATGTGGGAGTCTAACCAATACCTTAACCAATACGCCATCATCTGTTGGTCCCAATGAACATCTTATTTTTATTTTTTTAAGTGATATTTTTGCTATAGGGCACATATCCTCACCGGAGAGACAGAGAGAGACAAAGAGACAAAAAGTAAGACTCACCCACCCTCCCATCCAGGGAGGGTGGCTGTGCCGTACTCCCTTCTCCTACATTCTCCTCTCGGGATTTTGGGCACACATGCACACAAGTCTGGTGTAAATTTTAAGCTACCTGGTCCAGAACTCTAACCACAATTGGCTACTTGTGAGTCCAGCTACATAACCATTTTGCCATCCACTGGTCCCTTGAACTTCTTATGAACACGCAATGTAAGCATTAGAAGAGAAAGGGTTGGTCTTAGCGTCATGGCACAGTCATGGTAAACTGCAGTGCTGGAAGCCACACGGCTGACTGCAGTGTTGGGTCTCTGAATCAGCCTAGAAGCACTCCGGGCATGTGTATGCAGAGTTATGATGGGCTGGAGGGCTGGGAGGAGAATTGTTGTGTGACAGGACCTTGTCAAGGGTGCTCCTTTCACTCTCTTTCATGCACATATGCTATCTATCATGAATAAAATAAGTAAACTTTAAAGAAAAAAGATGAGATCAGTAAAAGATATTTTGTAACATACCCCTCAGTATCAATGCTAAGATTAGGATTTTATGATATAGAGTTATCAAAAAACACTGTGCCCATGCTGACTCAACTGACCCTTCAGAGTGGTGCCTCCTTATTCACCTGCCTCCTGCACCCACAACCACTCATGTTCTGGCACCAACCCCCAAGCACAATGGTGAAGATGCTCCTCCCATCATCAGACAGAACCTCCAAATCTGTTCCTGAGCAACAGAGACAATGACTTGTCTTTTTGTGTCTACCATAGCATTGACTATTGCACTGACTACGAGGAACACTGAACGAAAAGAAGCCTTCTGGAAATCGAACTGATGGACTTAATGCAAGGTAGATGTAGATGGGAGATTATGTGATAATTGTATCTTCCACATCAGTTAATGTTTGATGGCAGAGTCGGTCCAGACCATTAGGTTACACACTCCACCTATTAGTCTTCCCTAAAACTCAATTGGACAGCTTCCCACCTACAGAGAGAACTCTACTAGATTGACCCTGACATCTGACATGACTTATGGATTGGCAAAAGTAGTTGAAAAGAAGCTTCTTAAACATTCTACATAACCTTGGGACCAGAAGATGGCACCATGGTTACATCGCTGGACTCCCACACAGCCAACTGTGAGGCTTGAAACTCATTCTGGGCGCATGTGTGTGTGTGTTTGTGTGTGTGTGTCTGTGTGTGTGTGTGCCCAAAATCCCAAGAGGGGGCTAGAGGAGAAGAGATTGCAGTATGGCCATCTTCCCTGGGGTGGGGGGTGGGGGGGTGATTTCTCGCTTTCTGTTTCTCTGTCTCTCTCTGTCTCGCACATGCACCTTCTAGCAAAAATTTCCCTCAAAAAAAAAAAAAACTACCTAATCTGAAATGTTTAATAGAACCATGCCAAAATTATGAACTGAATTCACATAGCTGTGATTTTAAGTCCATACAATGAAGAAAACACATCCCATCTCAGCAATAATTCTGCATTGTAGAGGTGACAAGATGGGAGGAAAGGTGGCACCTAGCAGCTGCTTCATAAAATATAAAACTGAGAATCAGGTAAGAGGTTCTAATCCAGCCTCTGTGATCTGTCTCTGTGATCTTGCCCATGTTTTTGCTTGTTTTTAATTGCCAGAGGGCACGTGTGCTTGTTAGAGAGAGAAAGACAGAGAGGGGAAGAAAGTGCCCCTCAATGGCATGTGGTGACAACACAATCCCTTCTCCTCCTTTCCTTCATCATGTTGGGACGTGGACCACATATGTCTGGCATATTTTTCAAGCTGCAGGGACCAGGATTCAAATCTTGGTGGATCATGTGGGATCTGGTTTCCTGGCCTTGGCTATGCTTTTTGATGCTCTCTGTATCAGCTGTGTGAGTATTCTGCTTTTCAGGGGAAAGCACACTTTCCCAGGACTCACACAGGCCTGGCACAGGTTCTTCAGCGCCACTGTGTGGCTCTTTACAGACGAGATTTCTCAGCGAACAAACGGATCATCGGGCCACTGCTTCCCTGCTTGCCAGAGTGGCGGTAAGAACAAAGCGAGATCATGGATGTGAAAGTGTCGAAGGGATTATTAGTCAGTTCTATAATAATGCTTGTTTTGAACCTGAATTTGTTTTCTAGCATGAGTAATATGTTATAGAATGATTAGGTGAGCACAGAAAACTGCACCCGGCTAAACCAAGCCATGTAGGAATACACATAATACAACCATCTTCTCTATCAGCTCCCTCACTTCCATACAGATGAGGACAGCCACACCTGTCCACAGCCTGTGTTAATGGCCCTCCTTGCACACTTTACAGTAATTCACAAGCTGCAGCTTTTTTGAGAGCCAACCTCAGGTTTTTTTCAAGCTAGACTGTCATATTTATTATAGTATTTGTGTATTTCTTAACCAATAACATGTGTAGAACATCATCACTATTTTTATTAAATTCCTTTTTTTAATTGATTATTAATGATGTTTCTGGATATCGTGTTGTACCTACCCCCATTTTTCCTATGAACCCTGTGTTTTCTGTTTGTTTGCTTGTTTTTTGTTTGTTTTGTTTTGTTTTTAATTTCATCAGACAGTGTAGGCATTCACTGGAGACAGAGAGAGAGGGAGAGAGAAAGTGAGGAAGCACCCCCCAGGGGGTAGCCATGCACAATTATTCTCCTCCATTTATCCCTTTTTTCAGGATTTCGGGCACACATGCATGCATCTGGTGTCTTTCAAGCCACTGGGTCCAGGACTTCTATTGTATGATCAGCCCTGTTGAGATCCAGCCTCTCTAACTACCATGCCACCAGTTGGCCCTACCCATGTGGTTCTTATTGCTCAATTTTGCAAAATGTAGTGATTTTTCAGATCCTATGTATCATGTTATAGCAGAACTGACCACACTTCAACAATCTGGCATCAAGAATTTTGAAATTCACAAAACCAAGTATAAATAGGAGTTAGAGTATTGGTCTCTGTTATAATCAATGCATATAAATAAGAAATCAAAGCCTTTTGGTTAAAAAAAATCAACTTTTAAAAAATATATTGTTAAGTGCCTACTTTCTGGGCATATCTACTACTCTAGGTATTTAGCAGATAATTTATAAGACATCCAATCTGGCCTACTAGAGTTGTATTACCTTCTAGATTAGAAAGCATGACTTTGTTCTAAACAGTCAGAGTGTAGAGAAATTACTCCTCTGGGCCAGCTGGTGGTAGCATGGTGTACAACGTGGCTGCATCCTATATGGCCAAATGTGTGGTCCAAATCGCTGACCCAGTGACTTGAAGA